CAGTTAGCCCCTCTAAGCAATTTGACACGATTTTTAGTAATCGGCTTGATTGCATAAAGTGATCGACCTGACGAAAGATCGTTTCACTTAGCTTAAAGCGCCTAAGCGTTGGCTCACCACAGAGACATCGACATAATGGTTCACAAGCAGCAAACTGCCGATGTACTGGCATAGAGGAAGCAAAGTTCAAGCGAGCTTTAGAGATCGGCAAGCGTTGGTCTTCGGAAATTTTTCTTCGGAATATTATCGCAACAAACATTCAAGCATCGAAGCTCTTTTGTTCAGAGACGCGTGGGCATCCTATTTTCAAGCTCTTTTGTTCAGAGACGCGTGCGCAATCCTTTCAAGCTCTTTTGCTTAGAGCCGTGTGGGCATCCTATTTTCAAGCTCTTTTGTTCAGAGACGCGTGGACAATCCTTTCAAGCTCTTTTGCTCAGAGACGCGTGGGCATCCTATTTTCAAGCTCTTTTGTTCAGAGACACGTGGACAATCCTTTCAAGCTCTTTTGCTTAGAGACGCGTGGGCATTATCAAGCTCTTTTGTTCAGAGACGCGTGGACATATTAGAAAAAGAAGCTCTATTGTTCAGAGACGCGTGGACATATTAAAAAAAAAGGTCTTTGTTTAGAGGTGCGTGAACATATCCGAAAAAAAAGAAGCTCTTTGTTCAGAGACGAGTGAACATCAAAACAGCAAGATGGCATTCCCTAGATTGTGGAAAGTTGTCACAAACAACTGGAGGTAATTTCAAGCGAAGTTGTCTTCGATCGTGTTCCCTAAGATGTGGAAGATGATCATAAAGCGGAAGAGGATCGTTTCAAGCGAAGCAATCTTGGATAGTGTTCCCTGATTATCATGGCGGAATTGGAAGCAGTTGGAAGCGTAGCAGTTTTCAAGCAGGATGGAATTCTCTAGCGAGCAGAGGGTCATCAAAACAGAAAAAGCAGCAACAAATCGGTTACTTCAGAGACGTGTGCTCGACGGTGCAAGATACGCGTTTCTTAACTTTCTTATCTGTTTTAACTAATGCTAGTTTTGCAGGTATCGGCGTTACAAGAGTGATTTAGGATCGCAGAACGTTCTGAATAATTCTCCGTCCCTATCGCTACTTTAACTTTTGTTTTCGAAACTTGCGTTTCTCCAAACTTAGTCAAAGTGGGGGCTTCTGTAGACACCCATTTGTGTCTCCCCAAAACCAAACCCGATGATGAGTACCTTTCATGTCGAATCATAATTGAATGAAGTGAAAGTGTGGAAAGTTCAGTGTTGCGGAAAATTTTAATTTCTTTTCTCTTCTCTCTGTTTTTGAAAACCTATTTTAAGAAAACAGCCAATCCACTTTGGTTGGTCCATGATATGGGTCCAATAGCAGTGTAGTTGGATAGGGTTTGAAAAGAGTTTTCCAACGATATATTATAAGCCCAATTCCGATGAATATTGAGGAAGTTATGGCCAATTTACTGAACTGGGCCCGATTTGAGCCTTATATGCGGCCCAATGATCTAGAGGAGGGCCTAATATGGATTTATCATTCCTAATGCAATTAGGAATGGTTTTAGTTTTCTAGATTCTTCTAGAAGTTTCTTTTCATTCCTAATTCAATTAGCATTGATAAATTAACTTTTGTTGACTTTTCAAAGTTTTAATTAAGATCAAAGAACATTTTTGAGGAGATACGATTTTATCCTCATGTACGGCAATTTCTATGTGATTTTAAGAAAACGCGTGAATTTCTGAGTCAGCGCCAAACGCCAGCTGTAGCGCCTGACGCTACGCTTGGCGCTAGCCTTGGTGCCTGGCGCTAAGGTCAGCGTCTAGTGCCAATGACCAGCGTTGGCGCTAATAAATTTTTATCCGCGTCAGAACACTGTTTTGATGTTTTATCTTTTTGGCTGATTTTCTTTATAAATAGTCTCCTAAAAACTCCGTTTTCATCATCAATTCTCACGAAGACTCACCAACTCTCATCAAGATTTTCTTGATTACTCTCTCTCTCTCTCTTTTCTAAACTAGCCTTCTCTCAAATATAAAAATTCCGCATTCATTAGACTTAGACACACCAAGCCATATTCGAAGTTGCCTTCGCCCTAGACATGAAAGGTTTAATTTCTGAGGGTTTGGTCCCAAATCTCTCTTTCAACTATTTAATTTTTTTGTTTATATTTTCCTTGAAGTTACTAACGTGTGTATTTTGTTATTAGAAAGAGGTACGAGGCATCCAAGTAAGTACTTAAATGGTTTTAATTGATATTATGATATAGAGATCATGCTTAGATTGTTGTTTTGATTCCTAGTATCATGTTAGGATGTTTTCCTTAATTTGATGTTTAGGGTGACAACAATAAATTCCTAGTATCATGTCTAGGGTAACTTTAATATTAAGTATGATTAAAAGTATGATGCCTTTTATTTTCTTTCTATTATTTATGATTGTTAGTATCATGTTAGGGTTAAAGCTTTGACTTTTATTGTTTAGTGACATGCTAGGGTTTGTTATTAATCTTGTTAGTATCATGCCTAGGATCTTGCTATTATTATGCTTTAACATTATTATGATTATTTTATGATTATTATGATTATTATTATTATTATTATTATTATTATTATTGATTATTTTAATTATTATTAGTATTATTATGATTGAGATTATTATGATCATGATTATGATTATAATTATGATTATAATTATTATTATTTATGAATTATTATGTTGCTTGATATTTTATTGTTATTGCTTGATCACGCATTTTATGCATGTTTAAAGGGAATTGGTACTTTTAATCACGCTTAATAAGATAATTAATAATCTTGTTTAGGGTTAATTTGATTATAATTCAAGTGATCGCCAATAATAGTTTTATTTGTGCATTAATATTCCACCAACATAGTTAAACAGGTTTAGGATTAATCCTATTGATTGCATGTTAGTCAGAAAGCGCACATGAATACGATCAGAATAAAGTAGAGGCCTATTATTAAGGCAGGTTCAATCTCTTTTAGGTTGGATTTGTACCTTCATCCCCGAACCCTATTTGGTTCAAGACCTTATGGAGTTGACGATCTCTTGGATCGTTAAGGGGTGTAACCTTCACCCTGTAAACAGTTTACAAGTTCTTAAAACTTGTTGGCGACTCTTTTGCTCTAGCTTCCTTCCCTTTGGACGCCACCGTACTTTAGTGTATGATCACAGTGGGGTTTAAGCTAGGGGATTAATGCTTGCCTACACCACGGTAAGAAGACCTGATGCAATGGTAAGCTTATAGCCGTTGCATTAGCTATATATCTAATGCGACGACAACCTTACATTTATTGCATTAGGAGTATATAGCTAATGTGACGGCTATAGTTAGCCAGCGCAACAACAATTACACTTAATGTCAGTATGCCACGACCATTACTTATTATTATTATTATTATTATTATTATTATTATTAGTATTATTATTATTGTTGTTGTTGTTGTTGTTAACCTAAATAAAAAACAAAAATTTAAAAATCATGACAAAATAAATGGAAATTTCATTAAAATTAATTTTGTTGTTGTTAACCTAAATAAAAAACAAAAATTTAAAATTCATGACAAAATAAATGGAAATTTCATTAAAATTAATTTTTAAAAAATCATATACAATGTTGCACTAGAAAACATTTACAAATTCAAATAACTATTATACATAGTTAAATGTATGTTCATCAAACACCTAAATTTGACATGAACATAGAGCTAATTGTATGTCAAATTCAAGCAGACATGTCCTAATTGGTTCAAAGTCTATAATTCTCCACTTTTAGCCCATGACCTTGAATACTCCTTTTCCTTACTTTTTGGGGCCCGGAGGAGATTAGTCTCCGGTGGGAAAATATCAACCACAATATAAGTCGATCGTATCATCCCTGATCTCTCTCGTCCACATTGCTTCCTGCAATTGGTACACAAAGGAGGGTAAGTAGGAATGGCAACGGATCGGATTCGGGTCGGAGCTCCACCCGCATCCACCCGAATTAATCATCCGCTCCACCCGATCCACCCGTCACCCGCAAAACCCATCACCCGCATCTGATCCATCCGTCATCCGCGGATGAAACGGGTGGATCGGATGCTTAACGGGTGATAATTATAATCCTACTCTAACTATAAAATCTAATACGTTAAAATAAAAAATAAAAAAAAAAAGCTTTTAGCCAATTTTAAACTTAAAAAGTAAACCATTAATTAAATTTTTATTCCAAACTATAGCAATAAAAATAATCATGAACTTACTTTTTTTTTTGAACGGAATCATGAACTTATTTCGGTACTACATAATTAGGAATTGAGGGAGGTTTTATATTTTTTAAAATTAAATTAAAGAATTTTTAGAATTTTTTTTTTTTTAGAAATATACAATACATACATACTGTAGTATACTAGTATATAAGAAAATTGAGATTTTTTTTATATATATACGGATGGACTGCGGATCAGGTGATAAACGGATGACGGATAAGGTGACGGATGAAACGTAGCCCCAACCGAATCCGACCCGATCCGTCACCCGCCCTTCATCCATTTAATGCGGATTTTCGTCCATTTATTTATTTCGGGTGGATCGAATTTGCGGATATCCATTTAGAATTGCCATTCCTAAGGGTAAGGCACTAGTAGAAAAAGTGCTATTTGTAACTGGCGTAATTGACTTTTTGTAACTGGCATTGTTGGTTGCGAATGCCACCGTTACAATTAGTGTAAATTATTTGTAACTGGCTAATGTTAGTTACAAATACTGTACTATTCGTAACTGGCTTAACCTAACGCCAGTTACAAAAAGCCTATTTTCCTAGTAGAAAGCATACTATTCGTAACTGGCATTTAGTTACGTTGGTTACAATTAGCGTATTATTCGTAACTGGCAAATATTAACGCCAGTTACGAATGTATTTTTATATTTTCTTAAAAAAATACTATTAGTAACTAGCATTATATTACGCCAGTTACTAATAAATAATTTTTTTTATATAAATATTTGATTCGAATACAAAAATGGTAGTATATCCTACCAAACGTCCCATCGTCAAATGGGTTACAACCTGTTACAATTCAACAAACAAAACACGTACCGAATACTTCCATATAACTTAAATTCACCCATAACATACAATACAAACACTCCAAATAATTCCACACAACTGGAATTATTCATCCACAACAATACAATGCAACAAAATTAACTATACTTTTCAAAAAACAATTAAAACTTGAATAAAACAATCATTGATTTATAATTTATAAATGTAATAACAATAACACTAGGCTAAATAAAAGTAGATTTATAGAAATGTGCTACATTATTGTTTTATTAAGCTAAATGAGATTAATCATAATATCGATTAATAAGATAACTAGTCTTTCAACAAAAAAATAAGTCTAAAAAACTTAGCCTGTTGTTCTCGAATCTCATCCAATAATTCTACATCGTTGTAGGCTGCCAGTTTTGAAAAATGCCAAATACCCCTGCTAATATAAAAAGTACGTGTCTATTATATATAATAAAAATAAAACATCAACCAAAACTCATATAAAGAATTTTAGCTTGCAAAGAAGAGGTAAATTCATCACTAACCTATTTCAAATTACCCTTGCAATCGCTATGAAAAGATACTATCTCATATATATATCACAATAAGCACATTCGGTACCACCACATTGTTGAACACAATAATTTCAAGAAACTAAATCTTATTTATGCTTAAATTAATCCAACGGAACTTTGTTGTACTTCAAAGCTTAGCAGTTTTAACAGCACCATCCACCAGAAGAAGGGGAAAATAATAGCTAGGTTATTTATGTAATTACGGAAGATTGTTTGGAAGCCGATGCCAATAAATATTTCTCTATTGTGACCCTTTTGAAGCCTAGACAAGAATGGAATACATTTTAGAGAGAATCTTTCTCATTATAAATAATTGATATAAAATAAGCCACATGATATTAAGTTATTGACCAGTACAAAAAGGCATCAAGGAATGGGGGTTGTTCTGCAAAACTTGGGCTCCACTTACGGTTCAACAAACTACTATGATTAAATGCTAAGCTAACAAATGATCATGAACAAATTAATTAAATATTAGCAAACTACTTAAGGGTTCAGCAGAATGCAACTTTTAAGGATAACTTGTTCAATTTGGAAATAAATTCTCTTATTGCTTCACCTCATTCGGCTAGCATTTCAAGCTAAGCAAATAAAACCTCATGTGACTACAAAGAAAACCAACAGTTGCTTCAACTAAAATGTGATATTCAAAGCGAAGTTCACTGTTGTGCAGCACTTGAAACCAAACCAACATGTCAATGAATCTAAAGCTGGATACATAAAAAATTTCAACCTACATTAATTTTCATTAAGACCTGCATAAAATTATCCCGAAAATAAGTTCACATACAACAGAAACTGGAGACTGTGCTTCCTCATCAAGATCAAAAGTAAAAAGCAATTCTTATAAGTAGTTAAGTCAGCCAAAATAACAATATTGACAGTTGTAGGATGGTAATGATTTCAAGGATGCATTATTATGTCCAGTCATGTCTCATGTCCAAAAGGAAACACAGTCATCCGAGCTATCCTCCCAATACTCTGAATTTCAGTTCTGAAATTCAACTATGAATTCAGTAACTAAAACATATAAGGTTAACATAATCTGGGTGATTGAATTATGTAATGAAAATTGTAGTACCTAGCAATAATTGGGAGCACCTTCAATGTTCTGGAAACCATGAGAATGGTTGCTCTTCAAGATAGTCTTCTTCCCACATAAAAAAAATGCAACCTGACAAAAGATTAAAGAAAAGAGAATTGAGCATAAGAAGGTAACAATCATTATAAAGTTTCATTCAATGAATTGAAAACCAAACCAAAATTGAAATAAAAAAGCAATTTAAGAGCACAAATCAAGATAACAATGAATACTTTAGTTGGCTCACAATAATCATGGCTACCTCAAAAAGTCAAAGACAGAGACCCCTTAACGAAGAGTGAATCAAGCATCGACATGAGCAGATGAATGAATCGAGCTCAACCCTATAATCCAATCACAATGAAATAACCTATAATAATTTTTCTGTATTACATCAATCGAACCACTAATCACCATAGACCTTGATTCCAAGAACTAGCTCTCTTATTTATCATTTCTACTAGCTTAATCCAGGTCATTTCCACCAGCATAATAACTGAAAATCAGAAAGTTCATATTCAATTAGGAAAGATATATAGTACTAATACTATCAAATCAGGGTATTAAAAAAATAAGATGTAGGAATATAAGACTCAAATCAACAAAATTGACCAAATTAGCAAAATGTGAAAAATAGATCAAAATCAATAGTAATAAGCAAAATTTATAAAAAATAGACCGAATTAATCCCAACAAAATGTAAAAATAATCAACTAATAATGCAAAATATCATCAACCATCACAAGTAATTTATATATTATTATATGAATCAAAATGCAACATAGAAATAATCAATAAACAAATAATCAAGATCTACAGAAAGGAAATTATGTATAATGACACCTTACTGGCTTACTTTCAACCTCTCTACGTACTTTAAATTATAAGTTAAATAAACATCTATCTTCTTGAAAGAGAATAGAGATCAAGGGTCTGTAACCTTCTTGAAATTCCATCATAGCACCCTTCCAAACACCTTATTATTGCTTGCCCTGAAATCACCCATTGTGAAAAAAAGGTTAAATTAGACTCATAAATTCCTTCCACTTCTTCACATTGTTGCAATCACGACAAGGGCAAAAGATTGTTTCCCCTTTCGTAGTCCTCTGGTGTTCCATAGCAATCTACAAAATTCCTCAATCCCGTTCAAGAACTCGGGTTGAGTTCGATTTTCAATATACATCCAATCACGATTCATTTCTAACTACAAATTATAGTGCAAGCAAGCATATAACTATTAGAACAAGTACATTAGAAACAAACTAATACAATTACAATAGAACAACCACCATAATTTCGAACAACAACTTGACATTATCTTAATGTTCTTATTTTCAGCTCTGATTTCAGCTCTGAATATCAGTTCTGAATTTTATTAGCCCTCATTCAATAGGGTCTAGCCAAGTGGATTGATTGTTAATTAGACTACTCAATAAGATTATTATTATGTTTCAGGGACTTCTTTGAAACAAATTATAGATGTTTCACCACAAAACATCCTAGTAGAAAAGGGGCAGAAGACAATGGAACCCAACTTCCCAAATGCCTTATGTTTCACCAGAATACAAATTTCATACCATTTCACTATCCCAAAGGATAGTTCTGCCCAGACTTATAACTACTTAGAATGAAAGAAATAATTATTTTTTTTGCTTTCCATATATAGGAGCAGTTTCAGTGTCAAACTGTCAATAAATTAGGCACCTAGATGAAGTGCAATGCTTATAAATCATATCCAAATCATTTATAATAGCACTAGATGTAGCATACACTGGACTAGAATAGTATAATTTCATACACCTACTGGAGATTATTCTACCAAAATTCAAATTAGCAGTTTAGACGAAGAGATAGATGTATTAATATATCAAAGTGATTGATTCAATACAAGATTTACACACACACAGTCACACACACAGAATCACACACACACACACACACAGAGCAGTCACACAAACTATGATAGATTCTTAATTTTTTTTTTTTTTTCAGTATTAAGGTTTGTCAAGGTCCTTATGATCCCATTCTGCTGAAAGCTTGGGAAAATTGGGATACAAAGCATGGATCAGAGAATACAGCAACACCAGCTCCAAAAATTCACCCAAGGAACACTTTTCCGATAATATTTGTTCGAAATTATTCATCAAAACCTAATTTTCTTGGTTTTTAATAATCCAATTTGATTAAAAATTAATCAATTAATTGAAAACAACAACATTCAAATCGAATTTACATGTAAAACCAATAATTCGAAAGTACAAGAACCCTAATTTGAAAAATTACATACCTCAAAACCTTGTTATAAAACCACTAAAACTGATCCCAAATTCGAAAAACCAAAACCGTATTGAATGGAGTGAGGAGCAGCGAAGGAGAAGGAGGAGCAGCGAAGAGAAGGATCTCCCTCGCGCGAGCAGTTGGAGCGAAAGTGCAAAAAAGTTTGTTTTTTTTATTTATGCGAATCTCCCTGTAAGTGTAAGCTTAATAGGAAAATTAATTTTTTTTTTAGAAAAACCTTCAATAAAAATTACTTTGAGTTTCTGCTTAATAGGAACAATTAAATTTATGGTGTGTGTGACTATTAAAAAAAATTCAAACCTATTAAAATTACTAGCGTCTAATTAAATTTTCTTTGACTTAAAGTGATTGATTAATAAAAATTATGGTGTGTGTGACTATTAATAAAAATTCAAACCTAGTAAATAAGATTAATAAGAAGCAGAAACTTAATAATTGTTGCTTCAAAAAAAAAAACAAAAATTTATACTTGTAACTGGCGTTTGTAAGGTAGTTACAAACTCTTTGGTCAAATTTTCTTTGACTTATTATTTGTAACTGGCGTTTGTAAGCTAGTTACAAACTCTTTGGTCAAATTTTCATTGACTTATTATTTGTAACTGGCGTTTGTAAGCTAGTTACAAACTCTTTGGTCAAATTTTCTTTGACTTATTATTTGTAACTGGTGTTTATAAGCTAGTTACAAGCTTTTTAGTCAAAGTTTTTTTGACTTAATATTTGTAACTCACATTTATTTAGTCAGCTACTAATAAAGCTTCAAACAATGATAAACCACGTATTAGTAACTGACATTTATTACGTTGGTTACGAATGTCATAAAATTTGTAACTGGCATTATCTTAGTCGGTTACTATTGATGCTTTCGTAACTAGCATAACATACGCCAGTTACTAATAGGGCGTTACAAATATCACTTTTTCTACTAGTGAGGCATAACCTTTTATAGACACATCACTGAATCACGTAATCGCAGTTAAATGAACACAAAAAGCTTTTACATCTACTACTCCATATAAGTAGCAATTTCCAAATCTATTAAAATTTTAAAATCATCCAATGTATCTAATTAATAGTACATTTCTACTGCACCTATAAGGTTTTAAAAGATGGAAAAGTAGTTCAAGTCAGATTAAAACTAGATTCCTATTAATTGGTACATGTGACTAACAAAACATACAATACCTTGACAATTTGAACAACTGCATCTCTGTTGAAATCATACTATTACAATAAAGTGCTGCTTCAAAACTTATAATATCCACACAACCACTGGCAATAATAAGCCTAACACCAGCAATTAATAGACAACAGTTGCAAAATTCACAAGCAAATCACATTAGGAACTTGATAAACAAATATATAGTTAAATAAAAAACAGAACAGATATACCTTAATCTTGGGTGAGATGAGATTTCCTCGTGCAAGACTAATACAAACAGAAGGAAAAAATATTAATAAGAGTTGCATCATCATAATTAGAATCTCAATGCTATAGAATTTAATCATGCAATTAGATCCTATTAAAGACACCTAGTGAACCATGATATGCTCTAGTCTAAAAAAATCCGGGCAATGGAGAATACTTGTTTTAAAAGAATCCGTAAAAATTAAATAAGTGAAAAAAGACACTGTCACAGCATAATTCCCAAAACTGGCACCAACTTACTCTCAAAGCTATAAAATCAACCCGATAAGCCTAATGGGAATTCACATTTCAAAAGCAAGGTTCAATCAACGAGTAGGTAGCCTAGGTATATAAAAAAAAATAACAAAATTATGAGTATAGTCGTATCGACACATAAGAAAAACAAAGAGAATCTTTGAGTTAGGAAGTCAATTCAGACCACCATTTTTAACATTCATACCATACACTTCCAAACTAAGTCAAAAACTTTGAGCATAATTCCCTTTCTAATGTCCTTCTTCACCAATGAAATCAACTGAAAAAAAAAATCTAATTCTCATCCATGCCCATTAAGATACAATGTATCAATAACATCATTAAGGGGCTATGAAAAGTTTTGGGATCCTCATACTCACCTAGCTAATTAAGTAATTCATTTGAATTTGTACATGAGTATATGAAAAATTAGGTGATTCAATTGCAACAACTAATATAACTATACCAGAAAAACAGGCATTGCACAACGTTAGTCCATTATAATTTTCCCTAATAGTCTTCATGCATTGGTACATTGTATGTCATAACTCACTATAGATACTTTAATCTTTCTTAGCTTGAGTTAGTGACAAGTAAGGAGATTTAGTTATCAGATTATTTGTAATCCCTCGTATTTTTAAATATTTTATAATTGAAATTTTATTTTATTTATAATATTTATTTGTATTTTTTCGAGATTTAATTTTAAAGTTTCAAATTATTTTCGGGTTGATAAACGATTTTATTACAAAGAACTTTTTATAAACCCTCCTATAATTTATGTCCAATAAACAAAGCTTAGTCCAGTTTTATTCCTTAATTGGCCCATTGTTTTTATGAGGCTCAATATTCCTATTTACCCTACAACTCTCTCTCCTTTAAATACCCCATAAATCCCCAAAATTTTTCCCACATAAAAGGTTAGTTGTTTTCTTTTCCCTTTATTTTATTTATTCCCTTTTTCCTTTATTTATTTATTTATTTTTCTTTTTTTTTCCTTTCTTTTCTTTTCCTCCTCCTTATTATGTGAGAAAGCTGTTGTCCCCACCTGCTGGCCGGATCCACCGCCTGGTCGCCGGCGCCTGCCACCTCAACCACCTTTTCCCCCTTCTTCCTCCCTTGTTTAATCTACTTTGTACAAATTTTAATGTATTAGTTTTGGGTTTTGATTTTATAGTATAAAGGTTATATTTTTAGTATCAAATTCATGTTTTTGATAGTTTAAACTTATAATTTCAGATTATAATTGTTGTTATAATTTTCAGATTTTATAATTTTAAAACCTAGGGTTTTAATTTATTTAAATTGGGATTTTAGGGTTCTTGTGATCAATTAATTTAGGGCTTTTGTTCCTATAGTATTTCTATTGATTAATTAAGCATAAGAACATGTTTTAAAGGAAGTTTTAAGAACTTTTAATCTAATTTGTATTGCTGGAAATTTGGTTAAGTATTAATTTATTGTTGTTGGTTGTTTTCTAGGAAGTGATTATTCCTTAGGAGACTTTTAAGTGATTAAAAGTGGCACAAAGGATTGTATATACGAGGTACGTACATGTCTACTTCGTTGTAAGTAGTACCATGTTAAGGTACCAAAAGGAATGAATTTAGTTTCATGTTTAGGGAACTCTTGGATGAAAATTGTTTGGTTATACATTTAATTAATTCATGTACTTATGTTTATGAGACATGTTTTGGTGAATTGATTATGTTTGTATGGAATTATGGATACAAGCATGTTGAATTATATTGGATTAATTGTTTGTATAGAATGTCGATACAAACACATTTTTATTGGATTGGTTTATTAACCATGTTTGGATTATTAAAGGATTGGAATTGAATAGTTTAAGTGGAATGAATTTATTAATTATTCCACAAGGTTTTTATTTATTTATTACTCAATCATGACTTGTTAGTATGTTGAGTAAAGGAGGATTAAGCTGAAATGGCTAGGTGAGTTGACTATGTTTAACAATTTTAGATAATTTGGAAGTTTCATGGAATTAAAGGTCAATTTGTAATGTGATCACCATTGTCCTAAATAAGATTAAAAGTGAATTGATGTATGATTTTTATGTATGGTCTACTTGATTGAGTCGGCTATTAATTAAATTTGTAATCACATAAAGTGAAACGTGGATGAGCAATAAAACTTTGGAAAGTGTGCACTTCTAGAGTATAAACAATTATGGGTTGGGGTACATGGTGGTAGCCTGTGGCTTTCCGAGGCTTGTTTGGTCAACATGTCCTCTTCTCTTTTAGTATTTACATTTTTATTTTATAATGAAAATTAGATGGGATCCTAGACTAACTTTGTGAGAATGGAGTCGCACCCATTCTTGCACCACGCTAAACTTTTATTTTAAATGGTCATTTGGGACCAAAATTATTTCGTGGGTTGGACAACCTCGTCTATTGCTTACTCCAAATTAAATTAATTAAATTAAATATAAAGAGTCAAGTGTTAGAATTGGTTAGAAAGTATGTTGAGTCAATAGAATTGTTTAAGTGTGGAGTCTAGATGAATGAATTCGTGTTGTATGTTTATTTATTTTGATTAATTGAACATGCTAGGTTTTGTGTGTTGTAGCTTGTATGTACTCAGCTTTGCTGATTGCGTGCTTTTGTGTGTGTTTTCTTTTGGTCATGGCCTTCGCCTTTTGTAGACACCCATTTGTGTCTCCCCAAAATCAAACCCAGTGATGAGTACCTTTCGCGTCGAATCATAATTGAATGAAGCGAAAGTGTGGAAAATCTAGTGTTGCGGATAGTTTTAATTTCTTTTCTCTTCTCTCTGTTTTTGAAAACTTATTTTAAGAAAACAGCCAATCCAGTTTGGTTGGTCCATGATATGGGTCCAATAGTAATGTTATTGGATGGGGCTTGACAAGAGCTTTCCAAAGATATATTATAAGCCCATTTTCGATGAATATTGAGGAAGTTATGGCCAATTTACTAAAATGGGCTCGATTAGAGTCTTATATGCGGCCCAATGATCTAGGGGAGGGCCTAATATGATTTATCATTCCTAATGCAATTAGGAATGGTTTTAGTCTTCTAGAATCTTCTAGAAGGTTCTTTTCATTCCTAATTCAATTAGCATTGATAAATTGACTTTTGTTGACTTTTCAGAGTTTTAATTAAAATCAAATAGCATTTTCGAGGAAATTATATGATTTTATCCTCCAGTATGACAAATTTATCTGATTTTCGAAAACGCATTAAAATCAGACTTAGCGCCTGACCCCATGCATTGACGCCTGGAACCAGGCCTGGCGCTAGTGTTGGTGCCTAGCGCCAGTTAGCCAGGGTTTGCACCAGCTCTGTTTTTTGTGCGTCAGACTCTGTTTTGATATTTTATCTTTTTTAGCTGGTTTTCTCTATAAATAACGTATTAAAAACTCCATTTTCATTCACCAATTTACACCAATTCTCATCATTCACAAGTTCTCAGCAACAATCAGTTTTAATTAGCATTCGCCTACAATCATTCATTAATTCTCTTAATCATTCATCTTTCTTTCTTTCTTTCTTTCTCTAAACTTTGTTTTTACATAAAAAATTCC